ATCTAGATTCATAAAGGAACAAGAGGAACAAATGGACCATAAGCAATCACGCCTGCCCGCAAGTATTGGAGTCCCAGTTAAAATGCGAATTTCGGGACGAAATTCTCTCTAACGGGGGGATAATGTAACAACAGCAAAATTCAGGTCAAAATTTAAACTTTTATAAAACCGTAATTAAGTATACTAAGTGGTAGATATTGTAACAAGGTTTTCATACCTATAAAGAACATTAAAATCCGAGTTATAACGAAGAAGTTATGACCATTTTAAGTTTCCCGACAAAAACCGGCAATACGAAGTTACGTAAAAACGGAAAGTTTCAATAAAACACTTTTTGACCTTAGGTGTCTAAATGAAAATCATAGATATCGTCAAACCGTAACCGTACATAAAAAGAACGTCCAAATCTGACTTCGTATGAGGAAGTTGTGATTTTTCTAAGTTACAGATATAGTAGTAGACAGCTAAAAACTTGAAATAGAGATCGAGAGACTTTTGGCCAAAACAACCTAAATGAGAATCAAAGGGATCAACAATTCTAGCGCAACGGTAAAAAGTCTGACAAAAACGGACGTCGGATGAAGAAGTTATGGAACTTTAACGGACTTTTCCTGTCCCGACCTATTAAAAATATAATATTAAAAATAAAGTCAAAACTAGCCGACGAAGTCCAAAAGAAAGTTGTAGATCGTAGTCTCACCTTCGCGTGGATATAAAGAACGTTGAAAACGGAGTTCGTATGAGAAAGATATGAATTTTTGAAGTTTGTTAATTAATTTAAATATAAATTAAATTAAAGTCTGGTATTATCCGAAGAAGGAGTCACCGGTCCGATCTCTCGTACGCCCAGCGTACCGTCGTACGCCCAGCGTACTCGGATGCTAGGCTCCGATTCGTCCACGTCGCTCCAATGTTTCGACCGAGGATGCGCTCATGCATGACGCATGAGTACGCAGAGCGTACTCTAGTACGCCCCGCGTAACGCAACCTCCCAGACCCCTATAAATAGAGATGCGGGGGTGCCGGCCAAAATTGCTAATTTCCTTCCTTTCTCGCGCCGAAGCTCTGCGTTTCAACCCTCGAAATCATCCCAAAGGACCGGTTTTCATATCCAAGGTGGGAAGAAAGTTTTAGACTCCCGAGATTCCTGAGATTTCCCGAGAATCTTGAGAGATCCGCTTTCTCGAGTAGAAGTTCTGCTCGGTTTTCGTCACGCTTTCTTCAATCAATCAAGTGAGTTCATACCCCTTCCAAACACACTTTAAATACATTCTAAATGCTTTTATACTCTTTTAGGGGGGAATAAAAGTAAACATATGGTTATTATCGTGTATTTTATAAAGTTTCACTTCAATTGTTTTATCGAATAAATCTCTTGGAGCTCATTACTATTACGGAAAACTCTTGTCATACTCTACGTGCATTAGACATTATACAAAGTATATAATGATTTCAAGGTACCTTTCATTGTTAAATCGTTTTATACATTCTAAAAACTTATGATTTTGCTTTGTCAAACATTGTGAACAAGGATAAACTTTGCATACAAAACTATCACCTTAATACAAACTTAGTTGAGAATCCATGAGATGTGTATATCTTCAAACGTTACTTTTCTTTATTAGAAAGTAATGTTGCAAGTCCTGTCTATAACCAGAGTCTCTCGTTTGGAGAGCGTGTCAAATGTGTATAGATCTATACGGGAAGTCATGATCCCGCGCCCTGACTGTTAGCTACAGTCCGTCTTTTGAGGTGACAGTTGTCATAACGTTGCGACGCCTGAAGAACGTCGTTACAGGCATATTATGTTTAGTATGGTTATAAAACTCATCGGATATACAATTATTATGGTATTATGATTTTATGAACGAGTAGCTATTAAAACTATTCTTCATCTAACAAATGCAATCTTCGTATAGCTTTATCATATAAAACTATGACAGAACTTTTAAGAACGTCGGTTTCTTGCGATTTTCTGTCTTAGAGACTGCCAGTTATGTTAGGAAAATAAGGGTTTTTCCTGCATACAAACCAAACAACTAATAGGAAAATAAGGGATTTTCCTGGTGCAATTATTTACAACTTATAACACGAACATTCATATGCATTTCATACTTTTATAAGAAAATAAGGGTTTTTCTTGGAAAACACAACAATTGATATCTCAACCATTAGGGAAAATATGGGATTTTCTGGATCTAATACATTCACTTTCAACACAACAAATCATAACTCTTTACATTTGAAATACTGCGTTTTCTGGAAAACATACACGAACTTTCGAATGGCGTACATTTCTCAAAACACTACTCATGAACTCACCAACTTAATTGTTGACATTTTTCTTTGAAATAACTTGTATTCTCAGGAAACCGCTAAGCAGATTTGGAAATCAACTTTTGGGGATTAACGTACTGATGTTAATTACTTCTTTTGAAAGATGTTTATGTATTTAACTTTTGAACATGTAACGAATACAATTATGTAAACATTTTGGAAACTTTAATGTATATGGTGGTGTGTACTTTCCTTTCTATGAACTGTTATGATACTGAATATAACGTCCTCCGCCCCGAACGTTTCCGCCGTTCTGGTTTGGGGGTGTGACAAATAATGCAACTTACTAATTTGTATCGAACCACTTGGTCATTTCTATACCAAGGACGGATTTGTTTCCTCTAACCATGGAAAAATAGGTATCGAATCCGATCTTACCTCATTTCCAATTGTATCTTGAAGGAACAACACCAAACATTGTTGTGGTGTCAAGAACATGATCGTAATAAGAGAAAGTGTTGCTAGGTATGTATTTGATGTCAACATTCTTCATCTGTTTTTTCAAAGATCTGAAGCCACTTTCTACAAATCATCAACACTGCTCTTTCCATCCGAAAACGATTCCAATATCTCTGCCCAAAATCAAAACTGGAAGCAAAGTAGTAGACCCACATGTGTTTGACTAATCTCAATTGAACTAGAACAGTTGAACATATGGCGGTCAACAGACAGGAGATTGCTTGAACAGTAAACGTCATCTTGGTTTAAGGGGAACGAACCGATAGACACATATTAGAACAAACGACTTGGTTTTAGTCAAACTAAAACAACGAGAAGAGGCCAGAGACAAGGAGGAGATGATCGATGAGCAATTGAACAATTAAAAATATATTTATATTCTATCTCTTCAGGCTTAGACTAACCTTAGCTCAAGAGAAAAGGGAGTCATCATTTTACTGAGGGTTAAACAATTTGGAAAAGAGGAAAATGAAAATAATGGAGGGACATGAACAAGGGAAATGAAAAAAAAAAAATAGAATGGAGGGAAATAAAAATTTTGGAACATATTTATCATTTTAAAAGATAGAAACGACATTGAATATCAAATTCCACTAAAAGACATAATATAGTGGCACAAAATAAATGTGTCCGTAAAAGTTTGTGGCACTAAATGTTATTTTGTTTATACTGTTTAAAGTGTAAAGAAGATGTTTAGGTCAAAATCACGGAGGAATAACAAACAAAAACGCTTGAGTTTGCATGATATGTAGGGTAGATAATAATAAAGATTATATGTAGAAACGACATTCAATATCAAATGCCACTACAAGACATAATATAGTGGCGCAAAATAATTAATATGTCCCTAAAAGTTTGTATCATTAAATGTCATTTTGTTTGTAGTGTTTAAAGTGTAAAGAAGACGTTTAGCTCAGAGTCACGGAGGAGTAACAAGCAAAAATGCTTGAATTTGCATGAAATGTAGGGTAGATAATAATAAAGATTTTATGCAGAAGTTAAATGACAATTTCTTAAAGTATGGATGTATAATATAAAAAATCCATTTCTACGAAAAATCAGGTTCAAGATTCCATTGAAACAATAGATTCATTGTATGGTGCAATTTAGTTATGGAGTAGAGTGTTGTAATTATTGTACTATTATATATAGGAAGTTGGTATCGTTTTTATGTTTCTTAATGATTTTTTAGACTTGAATTTAAAATCTATAAATATTTTTTTAATTATATCAATTAGAAAAGTATGATCATATTTCATGTTAAGTGAAATATATACGGGTGTTTAAATTGCAAAATGATAATTACTTTTTTTTTTGCAAACTCTCAACATCTGATTTTAGTATAATTTATCTTTTTAAGTAGTGATTTTATTTATATATCTTATATATTTTTTTTCATTTGGTTTATCATACTCCAATAGTTCATACAAAAAAACAAATTTTTGAACAGATTTGCCCCATGCATGTTATTGTTGAGTAGGCTATTGCTGTGGGTACCGAAAATTGAAGATGATTTTGGAGTTTGGTATTTAGTTGGACACATCTTATTTCATGGTTTAAATGTTATTTGAAGATAGCCTGGAACTTCAGTTGCATTACATAAAATAAAATCCATTGTTTGGTTGTATGGATGTATTTTCCCAACTGGTGGGAATATTATTGAATTTTGTGGATGCTTTTTGATTTTACTATACTTTATAATGATCTTGGTGGATTGGAAAGTTTTTGTGTTATTGGACAATTTAACCCTTGTAGATGGATTTACCTCTGTTTAATTCCACCTAGCCCCTGTTGTATTCGAACGTGGTTGCTATTAAATGTAACGCCTTCTTCATTTTCTCACTAGTTTCATTTTGGACTTAGAGGTATATTATTTTTGCTTTTTTGGCTACCAATCATTAATAGTAATAAACCACACAAAAACATCATTTGATCTATTTATAAAATAAACATTGATCATAACTCAAATTAAACAATTTAACATAAACTTACGCTAAATCAACATATATAAACTTTCGTAAAGGAAACATAAAAATAGTGTATGAAAATTTTTTGATAAACATTATTAGTAAAATAAGTTTCATATCATCGAAATAACTACAAAACTAATCAATCAAATATATCTTCATAATTGTAACTAATCTAAGATATAAATTATACTTCTTTTAATTTCTCCATAGACTCGTAGCTCATCAATGCCACAACTATACAAAATAAATCACATGGTCGAGGTCTATAACTTTTGGAACTGTATGATGAGATGGGAACTTCGGAAGAAGTTTCCCAATGTAATTTGCAACATCGAGATAAAATGAATATGTATCAATATAAGCACCTTCAGTTGTTTTACAATTATGTGTCTTCAGTTTGGTTCGTTTCACATGAAATGCTTTGGTTGCATTGTTACCAAATAATGTGCAAAACTTTAAGTCCTTTTCCTTGAGCAAAATCTCCTCGAAAGCCTTAGTCTTGAAAGTCCAACTGCCTGTAGTCCAATTGAATTGGTAGAGGGAAAGAAATCTTTGTCCGTAGCTAGCTATAAATTCTATCGCGTCTAGAATGAATTCATACTCTTCATTGGACATATAGTAGGCGAAGCTTACTCTTGTCCAACCCAACTTTGCTCCATTGTAACCCTATCAATGAATGGATAAAGATAAATATTAAAAGAACCGTAAACATGGTTGGTAAATTTAAGAATATTTCTATGTAGTCATGAAAAAGATATTGAAGTTATTATTATTATTGGACATGGTATATAGTCTTTCCCCTTCTAGAACTATATGGGACAATGCAACTATGGAAGATATATGACACCAAGATAATAGAGTAGTTTGGAAAAAATAAGTTAGATTATCCGTGGAGAAATGTAAAAATAATATTAATTACCATTTCAACTGCAGATTTGATTGCAAGCGAATGTTGTTCATCGATTCCAAGCAAGAAATGAGCATAGGGTCCCGCACAAGCACACCCTCCCCTAGCTTGGATACCAAAAAGGTCGTTCATAAGCTTAGCAACAAAAGCCCCATTAAGAGGCTTATTATGTGTCCCTTCTTCAATATCTGAAGTGTATGTAGTCGCGTAAACAAGGAAAGATAGAATTGGTTGTCTCTCTATCGTCGTATTTCCCAACACCCATATGTTCGGATTTTTCACAAGTCTCTCTATTGCCTTTTCAATGTAGTTGCGCTCTTTCTTGCAAATAACTTCACAGCTAATGTATTCTTTTACTTGAAATGCTAAAGCTACCTTTACTCGTTGGATAATCTGTGGGGTTCCAGCATCTTCCCTGTCTTCTATGTCATTAACATATAGTGTGTCCTACGATGTCAAACGATTGGAATGGATTAGATTGAATGTAGATGTCAATATGTCATTAACATTAGAAACCGATTATAAACAGCAAAAGCGTCCCTTTTTAGCGACTGAATTTACAAACCAGTGCCAAAATGGCCAGTTTTCTAGTGATGTGCGTACCTTTTCATTGAAGCAATTGACAAAGTTAACTGTTCCACCTCCACATGTTGAAGGAGGAGAATCTTTCAGTTTGTATAGTGCCTTGCTCATCAGAAGAATCCCTGGTGATCCAGGCCCTCCAAGAAACTTGTGTGGACTTAAAGCTATGGCGTCGTAGCCATCATCAGCACCTGATCTCATGTCAATCTCTACATACGGACCACTATTCAACATTCAACATTAAAGATATATCAGATTCATACTGATCGAGTGTCTGACAATTTATGTTTGATAGATTAAAAGGTTATGAAAAGAATTAAAGAAATAAAAGATCGTACCTTGCTGCGAAATCAAAGCATGCAAAAGCTCCATATTCATGAAGCAAGCGAGATAGAGAACGGGTGTCAGAGCAAATTCCAGTGACATTACTACAAGCAGAAAAGGAACCAAGCATCGGGCGTCCAGTTCCTCGATAAAGATTCAGTTGTGACTTTAAATCATCGATGTTGATTAACCCTTCATTGTTCAAACCGATCTCTATAACTTCCGCTAGGCTTTGCCTCCATGAAAGGAGGTTGGAATGATGTTCATAAGGACCAACAAAAACTACCCACCTTTCTTCACTTGTTAGGCATGATTTTAGTACTTTTTCTCGTAAAACTGATGGAATAGAGATTCCCATGACCTCTTGGAGCCGTTTGATGGCTGCTGTAGTTCCCGATCCACAAAAAAGAAGTGCGTCATCATGTGTTCCACCTAAGCACTTCTTGACGAACTCAGTTGCTTCATGAAGCATTTTCATAGTTTGATCGCCTACGTAGCTGTCGCTTGTGTGAGTATTACCTGAATGCCATTTGAAACGTGTACGTTCTTAAATTAAAAGCTATTTTTAGGGCGACATGCATGGATGGTAAATCCATTTGGAATGTTCTTTTTGCATAATTAATCATGTTAAATAATCCATAAAAATACAAAAAGAATACAAATGTAACGTTACCATAGAAGGGAAGAACAGTGTGGATGATGTAGTCTTCTATGTACCGAAGACATCGACCTGTTGCTGTATGATCGGCATACGTGAGCTTACGTATTCCAAATGGAGTGTGAATCTCAGCAATCCCACCTATTATTTGTGAGCGTAGCCAGCTTAGTTTAGCATCAACAGTTGAATTACTCTCTGGTAGTTGTGCGTCTTTGCGTAGCATGCCACAATCACTAATATCGTTGTTATCGTTTGTGGCCTTGAAACATTGCTGTTCCACCACTTTCCGATTGGTTAATAGCGTCGACAACATTACTTTTTTGTGTAAGAATGGAAACTTAGTGATGAATTTAATAAAAAATGGTATTTGAATATCAGAGAGTTGAAGGCTATTTAAGGACATCTTGTGTGCGGAAGAAAGAGATACAGTCGCCTAAATAATAAAACTACGCGTAAGTTAGGCTTAAGTAATAATAAAACTGTGGTATGCGGGTTCAAATGGTATAGAGGGTGCCTAATTTACGGCTAAACTATGAGCGTTGACCTGCATATTTTGAAAGTGGAACATAGATTAAGATGAAGTTAGAAATGTGGTCGCTTGTAAGTTGTATACTGCCAACTTGCAATTTATTTTTTAATTTTTTTTAAAAAGCATTATTTTCCAATACAAAAAACATAGAAAAAAAATACTCAAGACAATTGTTGGGATATGTATGTTTAATGGTGTTTTTACCAAGGTTTTAACAAATTCATCATGACTTTGTAATTCATGGCTTTAAGGTTTGCACTTGCTGCTAAGTTTTACCAAAACTTCGTCTTTACTCGTATATGTCTATAAAAATGAATAATAGTTGAAAATACATATAAAAATATTAATTATATAGAAATTACCGCCTTAAGTCATGCCTTGCAAACGTTGTGGCTCGGAAAAGCTTGAGAATTAACATTGCTGCCAAGTTACGTCTTACGTTACTTAGAACATTCGTTTTCACTTGTCTAATCGATTCTAACTACAAGAAAGCTGTTTTTTTCTTTTGTGGAGGATACTAAGTAGCGTTCACCATACTAACCAAAATATTGAACCAGAAATTGAACCAAATTAACTAAAATAATCGAATCATTTTAACCGAATCATTAGTAAAAGAAGGAATGCGGTTTATACTTTTTAATTAACCACGTCATGAGCATATTGTAACACCGTAAATTTTCAAATAAAATTTTCATTTAAAAATCACATTAATCTCATTAGCACAATCACAGAATTCCCAAAAATATCAAGTTATCAAAACACATGTCCGTAATAATAATAAAATCCAGGATCCTCACAACTCAGTTTCGTGTGTACAATCAAGCCGGTGCCTTCCCGTGATCCTAATAAGTACCTGAAACACATAACACATAACACGGTAAGCACAAAGCTTAGTGAGTTCCCAAAATATCACACATATCTCATCAGCCTCTCATCGTTATACTCGAATAAGACCCTCTGGTCGATGTTTCTCAGTGGGACCCTCTGGTCCTACAACTCGGGTGGACCCTCCGATCCTAACTCAGTAAGCTCAGTATAATACACAACATAGATCAAAAGAACATAATGCAGGATATCACAATATTCAATATAAGCACATAAGACCCTCCGGTCACACAAAGATTATCACTTTAGGTAAGTATAGTGAGAAGACTCACCTCGTAAGCAAGCAAGCAAATAAACCTCGTATACGATTCTCCAAACTAGCCTCCACCTAACACATAGGATAATTATCCCTAATTAACATTTAAATCACGACTCTAAATAAACTAAGTTATTTTCTCTCTCAAACTCTTGGGATGGGTAAAAGACCATTTTACCCCTCCATGGTCCCTATAATCCATATCTTGACCAAACCCTAAAGTCAACAGAAATCAACACTGGAGTTAACAGCTAAGCTATCAATTGCGCGCTATAGTGTTTTGCGGAGGTCAGGAAATGCTATTTTCAACTTAGCGTTTTCATTTTGCGGTACCGCTATTAGCAGCGCTATTCACCGCTATTTCAATAACCGCTATAGCGGCGCTACGGGCGCTATTCCATTTTCGTTCACATTTTGGGTCATTTGGTTACTTTGTCAATCAAAAACTAATTTTAATGATCTCACTACACTTTCATTTTAAAATGCTCAAACAACTAACATAACTAAAAGCATTCAAAGCAACTACGTCTACCGACAACTCTCTTTCTGTACTCACGACAACTTGAACTGCTATGGTCGGACTCCATTATTGCTTTTTGTAAATCGAACCACACCTATGAGGCTACGACTTGGAACTTAACTCTTTATATCAACCATGACCTACTAATACAATATTGAACACGAGCAATACAATTAAACTCTATTTGATACTTTGACACTACCTAGTTTCCATATTACCATAATAGAATATTATGTTATGTTTTTATATCACTTTTTAGGTTTATGATATTAATTCTATATAGACTTATAGTATTAATACTCAAATATATATAACTTCTATATAAATATAATATAAAATTATAAATTATACGTAATATTAAAAAAACCTCTATATTTCCGCTATACCACCGCGATAACCGCGATCTCAAATAGCGGCATGTGACCGCTATTGAAATTTTGACCGCGATAACTGCATAGGTTAACAGTCAATGTTGACCCGAATCGTCGAGTGCATCTATGTGACCCATCGAGTCCACTTGTTTCCTCTTAAATGTTGCGAAAATCTTACTTGACTCGTCGAGTTGTCTCATCAACTCGCCGAGTTACTCATGTCCAGACTCGACGGGGAAAACCCTAGCCGACTCCTTGAGTCAACTCATCGACTCGGCGAGTCCATTCAGTCTATGTTCTCATTCAAACATTTTAAGGCAGATCTACAACCCCCAAAATCTAGATCTAGCCTCCCAAGGTTGAGATAAACGTAAAGCTACAATTACTACATCATGCAAGGCACTTAGGGCTTGAAAATACCAAAACAAGTTCCATTTACGGTTGAATGCACAAAAGCTTGCCTCTAGCTCAATTAAGCTTGGATGTTTGGGCTCACAAGTCCTCCTACAATCCAGATATGAGGTTTCAACCTCATGATATGCTTAAATAACTCATTGTCTAAAGATAGATGGGAGAAAACCCTAAAAATCTCTCTAAACTAAGATCTTAGACAAGAAAGGTCAAGATAGAAGCTTTTTACCTTCACACCGAACCTAATCACTGAAGAACTCTGAATCTACAGCCTCCCTTTGATCAAACTCACCAAGCTCTCCAAATCTCCTTCCAAAGATGCACAAAACCACTCAATTTAGTCTCTCCCTCTTTCTCTCTCTCTCTATCACACACACACAAATCAATCTAATCGATTAGGGCTTTACACAGGGGAGTCGGGTGGTTGGTGAGGCAGAAATGAGGGATTAAGGTCCTTTAAATAGGACCCAACCCTGGAGATCTAGGGTTTCTTCTCAAAGAGCCAACTCTTCGAGTTGGTTGTAAAACCCACGTGGTCAGTTCGTCTTTACTCGACGAGTTGGAGCACCCACTCGTCAAGTTACTCATAAATAAATATACAAACATTATACCTGGGAGTCGGAATGTTACTTCTCCCCCACTAGAATCAGAATTCACCCTCGAAGTCATGATTCAAAAATAACCCTGGATACTGCTCGCGCATCTCGGACTCCGACTCCCAAGTCCACTCGGATCCCTTCCGATGTTGCCATTGGACCTGAACCAGTGGAACCTTTTTATTCCTCAAAACCTTCACTTTCCAATCCAAGATCGTCATCGGCCTCTCAATGTAATTTAGGCTCGTATCTACGTGAATGTCCTCTAATGGTACCATCGCCGTCTCATTGGCTACACACTTCCTCAACTGAGACACGTGGAAGATGTTATGAATTTGGCTCAACTCTACAGGTAGCTCCAACCGATAAGCTGTCTTACCCACTCTTGCGGTCACTCTAAAAGGACCAATGTATCTAGGGCCCAACTTGCCCTATTTCCTTAATCGGTTCACCCCTTTCCACGGGGATACCTTTAGGAGGACTAAATCTCCAGCCTGAAACTCTAGCTCGGATCGTCGCCGGTCTGTGTAACTATTCTGGCGACTCTGGGTTGTCAGTAACCTCTGTCTGACCTACTGAATCTGCTCACTCGTCTTTAGCACTATCTCAGTGACAACCATCACTCGCTGTCCTACCTCTCCCTAATAGATGGGAGTCTAACACTTCCTCCCATATAAGAGCTTGGAGGAGGGGGGCATACTATAACAACCCAAAAATATTTTCCTTGTAAGTTCAGCCATTCAATCCAATAGTGTGTCAGACTCGTTTCTGCAATCTTTTAGCATTGTTTAGAGTCTGTTTAAGGGTTCAAAGCTCAGTACATTCAAGCATTAGGTATAGGATCGAGTTGCGTAAGTTCTTCACGTTGAGATCAAGCCGAACAATCCATGTGAGGAAGTGTATGGCCGTACACATGTGTGTGCGGCCGTACACCCATGTTGGCCGTACATCCCGTCCATAAGTGTGATATCCATTCATTTCTAAACCATTTCCTCAGTTTCCAAGTCAAGAACATCGATTTCTCTCCCAACTATCATCGACCTTTCACCCCGATCTTCAAGAATGTAAGCCTTTCTTCTGTTTTGATTTGTTGTTATCCTTCTTCTCCTAGTAACACCCTTTGATTTCATCCATGGGAATCATGTTTTGGCTAGATCTTCAAATATTCATCGATTTCACCAAGAACACCAAGAACACACACTTGTTCTTGGTGATTATGAACCCTTTTGAGCCTCCAAATCGTAAGTACTCTTTCCATATGCTTATTACATGTTAGGAACACTTGATTAACACCCTAAAAACGACCAAAACCAAGATCATAAGGAGTGTACGGATGTACACCCCTCAAAACACCCCTAAAGGGCCTCCAAAATACAAATCTAACTTCAAGAGTTGATGAACAATAGTCCCACAAGCTTCCCTATCATCCAAGCAAACTTTTGTACACTTAGTACCATTAGTGTATGGTCGTACACTCCCAAGCCGTACACCTATGTCCTCATACTCCTCATTATGGCTGTACACTCCCTTTAGATGAATCACATGTGATTCTAACACTTGGTCCAACTGTTTCCTAGTCCCTAAAGGTGTTTCCTTAAATGTAGTTGCTTCTAAACACTATATTCATGCCAATATATGCCATTATATGTCATTTAGGACTCGTATGTGTCTCGGGACTTCACTAGTGGAGCTTTTCATCCCTACACGCTTATTCGTTTGAATCACCCACATAAGGTGACTTCATA